GAAAAAAAAATAATGGAAGAATCAAAAATGTATAACTATATATCTAGAAATAGAAGTTATAATATGTTACAAAATTCTTCCTATTTTTGTATTTAAATTACATGAAAAAGAAATTCCTTTATTAAAACATTGTAAGAATGACTGCATGAAAAATATTCGGATGTGATATCTGTGAAAATATTCATATAATAATGAAATAATCGTTGCAATATATAAAATGATTGTTAAAATGGATTTGTTCATATTGTATAATAATTTTTGTAAAAAAGCAATATAATAATATAAATATATACATTATTTGTATAAATAGTAAATAAAAATACATTGTATAATTTTATGGAATATATCGTATTCTTATGTTGCCTTTTTTACGGATTATGCGTTTTCATGTTATAAAAGTGATTATAATAAAAAAAATGTTAACGTTCTACATAAAAAAATACAAAAATATAAAGATTTACAAACAATCATTGAAAATGATACGAATTAATTAAATATATAAAGTTCTATTTAACTACGTAATATATTTAAAAAATGTATTTCCATTTATTGTATGCACTTATTCATAATAATTCATGAATTATAGTTTTTTAAAAATTACAAGCGTATAATTTAATTGTACACATATTATATTTTTCTCCATTTATGACATTACTATATAAAATTATATTACATGTTATATTTCTATATGGATGTACATGATACAATCATTACTTTGTATGTTTATGTTTCATTTAAGGCTATTTAATTGTTTTATTTATCCTCTCTTTTTTTCTGTTTTAATTAATATATAGCATTTTTATATTTTATATAATTCTTGACTATATAGTTCTAAGGATGCATCAAGCTTAAAAATATGTATAAATGTAATGCATTAAAATTTTTTCCAATATAATTGTATTATGTATATATAAATCTAATGAATCATATTTTTATTACACAATACATATTTTTACATAATACGTTATATTACTATATTCATTATTTTGAATCGAGGGGTAAAAATTATAGAATTATATCATTCATATTATATGAATATTGTATACTTCAATATATGTAGATAATAATTTACGGTTTATTTATTAGAAATATAAATTTTATTTGAAAATTCTACGTGAAATAACAGCTTAATTATACATACAACAAATAAGATATGGAATAGTATAGCATTTGTTTAATGTACTATATTTTAAATCATATAATTATAATTGTATAAATGATTATGAATAAGAACTAATTTTTAAATGAAAGAAAAATATAATCCCAGTAAATACCTATGATTACGATTATAATGATGCAAAAATTTAGGACTTTCATTAATATATGCAACAAAAATTTCACTTGGATAATATAAAAATATTATTTGCAATTAAAGTAATAAAAGATGCTTACGTTTCTATCCTCGTTATTACTAATTATGATTCCGCATTTATTAACACATGTATAAAATTAATTTAAAAATATATAAGTAACATTGAAATAATGTTTTTATTATTACACTTTTATTCTATAATATATCACAACATATAAGAAGGTATAAATCAATATCATAACATTACTACTAATTATGAATATATTAAAAAATGTAACATCTAATCATCGTAATTCATATGCTTATTTTGTGATTAACATAAATATTGCTTGTTTACATAATAAAAGATTTTAATACACACAGGATAGGAGTTATAAACATTATATATAATACAAATCAAAGTATAGTAATTAATATTATTGAATAAAATAGAACAAGATTTTAACCATATTAATATATAATGTGGCTTCGAAAATATTATTTTCATATATTTGAAATGAATTTTATATATATTATTGAATTTTAATGTATGATGTGATAAAGTATATATATACTAATATAATTCAGATTAAATGGCGATTTCATATCTAATATAAACAATACACTACATTATGTATTTTAATACAAATATAAATTTAAATAATTATTTTAATATAAAAATTATTTTATAATTATAGAATTATACATATATAATCTACACAATTTAATGCAAAAACTATAAATATATAATTAAAGATATTATGATTGTAAAATTTTAACTTAATAAAACATAATGCAAAAAAAGAAAATTATAAAATAAATTATTTAAAAAATATTTAATTTTAAAATAGTTCAGCATACAACATAACCAAATTGAATTATATAAAAACTGATTATTAGATCCTGTATTTTTTTGACGTACCAAAATTGAAATATATAAAAAGTGCATAAAAATAATAACCTACAATAAAAGGACATTTACGTAACAATTAAGAATATATAAATAAAATACATATAATATTTTTACAAATATAACTGAATAAATAAAGTATATATATTAATAATATATAATTATAAATATAAGAAAATATAATTAATAAAGAAATAAAATATATTTAAAAAAGTTATATTTATTAAATATAACATAATAATTATATTCAACAAAATATCACGATATATTATATATATATAGATAGTATATATAAAATCAGTTACATAGATAAGTATATATATTTAATATGTATACAAAAAGAATAAAATATAATTATATATATGATATAGATTATATTAATTAAAGAAACACAGAAAAAAAATTATAAATATAATACATAACATATTAATATAAAAGGAAAAAAAAAAAGTACAAAAAAAAATTAAAACGTAAAAGAACTACAAAATATAAAATATTAAATCATTAATATAATAACATGAACACTAAACGTTAAATCCTAAAGCCTGAAACACAATAACGTGTATACAATAATTAAATCATAAGCTAAACCATATATATAAACGAAAATCCAGAATTCTAAATCATAAAACTTAAAACATAACCAAAAATATGAATATAAAATATAAAACTAACACATAAAAAGGAAAACATCAAAATAACAACTGAAAATTAAAATCTCTTAGCCATGAACCAAAAAAGCTGAGCAACAAAAACCGAACCCTAGCCCCCTGAAACCTAAACCCTGTACCCTAAACCTAAAACATATATTTTATATTCTTTCATGATTATTAACCTTATACTCATGTTATTATTTTTATTTATAAATACTTAATGTAAATAGGACGAAATTAAAATCAGTAATATTGTCTTGAATTATTCATTAAATAATAATTGAAAAAAAAAATACATAAGGAGAGAACCTTTTAAATTAAGCTTTTTTCAAATATATTTTTTACACGAATTACAATATCATAATAAAATAATATATTACTAGATTATAGTGCTTATATTAATTAATGTATAACATTTATTTATTCATTAGTAAATGTGTATTCTTTTAATACGAAATTGTAGAAATTTATTAATTTTTCAAATGTATATCAGATACATGTTCTTGAATATATAGAGCCTAATATAATATTAACGATAATAAATCATATATATATGTATTTATCAATTTTTAAATATAATATATCTGTGGATATAATATAAATATTCTTAAAAATATACTTTATATATACATAATTACCATATAAATTAAATGTCACATATAGTATATATTGGAAGAAACAGGCATGTAAATATTCTAATACAGGGTATTAAATGAAACATTAAAGATATCATATATTTATGAGAAATAACAATAGCATAACATAAATATGAAAGTAAAAAAATATAAATATTTGAAATATAATTATTTAATTTCTATTTATATCTATTATCAAATATTAGACCATGTAATTAACAGCATAAAAAAAATTATTCAACATGTGTTGCACCTTTCCTAATATTGCTTCTATGTTTTTATGTCTCTCCAAAACCATAAAAATAAATATTTATTTAAGCGATAAATTGGAATAATTTTTTACATATTTTGTAATTTTAAATGAAATCACAATATATAATATTGTTTAAAACGATATGATAAGCATATTTTGAATTAAAAAAAAAAATGTTATTTCTATTAATGTTTAAATTGTATGCGGAAGTATATAATAATTTACAGTTTCCCTATTTTAATATTGAATTAGTGAAAATATTAAAAAGAATTATATTCTTTAATTTTCAAATATTGTACTATTATATTTAAAAAAACATATAAATACAGTATGTTTTATATTTATTAATTATCCAACACTCTTTTATTATTATATTATGCGATTATATAGCTTGATATATTAAAATGAAAAAATATTAAAATTGTGGGAATTACATAAATATTGTACATTTTATATGTAACCCACATTTCTATTGTGTATATATATATAAGAGTAAAATGATCTTCTGCAATTAATAGAAAGCAATGCTTTTTTTATTATACAACAAATATGTCTAAGTGTATAAATAATTCAAAAAGAAATAAATGAGTAAAAATGCTCATATGAAGTATTTACATCAAATTTTAAAATTTTTCTAAATATTATAATTTATTATGGTAAGAATAAAAATTCCTAATTATAAATATAAGGAATTCATCTAAATAGGGGTTATATCATTAAATATAATATAAATTATTTAATTCAATAATTAAATAGCAATAAAGCAAATAATTAAAACGTAAACATGTTACCCTGGATATAATTATTAATCCCTGCAGATTTTTATAAGTGAATAGAAAATATTTAATTGTATATATTCTAAATAATAATGTATATTAGTATTATATGTATATATATTATTCAGATAATTAGTAAAATTATTTTATTTTTATTTATCATGAAAATGTTAATGTTATGCATTTAAAACATTGTAACGTTTTTTTTCTATATAAAGTATTTATACAATTCGATTCTGTTATAAAATAATTAATACTGAATATTACATGCCGCTTGTATTTCATACTTCATAAACAGTAGTGTAATCATTGATAAATTATGATATTTATATCAATTTTCATCAATTTTATAATATAAAAAATATTAATCTAACTCTTTCTTATATTTTATTTGTGTTTTAAATATATATATATGTTTATATATATTAAAAAACAAAGATATTGTCATTAGATAATCGTCAAAATATATAATAATATATTCGATGGATAAATTTAATGTAAATTGTTGTTAATAATGTAGAATTTATAGAGTTATAATATAAATATGTTATTTATTTCATATGTAATATAATTATTTGTTTAGGGAATTCTTATATTTTTTATGCGTTCATTATTTTTTCTTCAGTACGAATTAGTAAAAGAATTTCCAAAGCATAATGAAAATTTAAAAAATAACGACCTAATTCGGGGTTTAGAATATAAGTATTGCTTTCCTAATGGAGGTATTGGGGGATATAATAATATATATCTTAAATTCTCAGAAGATAGATGCATGAAAGCCTTGTCATTTGCATCAAGAATAAAACCGAATTATAATATTGAATATGGATATTGGGAAGAAGCAAATTGTTTTTTCTTATATTATTGGCTGCATAATGAATTTAATGCTAATGGTATAAGTCAATATACAAGCAATATTTATAAGGCATTGTTTAATGCACTACATAAAAATTCTAATAACATATGCAGATATTACAAGTATAAAGTAATTTTAGAAGAAGAATTCACAAAACTCAACAACTTATATGACATTTATAAAAAGATTCAATGCATAGAAAATTCATGTTCAACTTGCAAAAATAAGTGCGATTGTATTAATGAATGTTCAAATAAATATGAAAGCTATAATAAAACCTGTAACTCTAGTAGGGAATGTTCTTATTGTGAGGCATTAAACAATATTAAAAATGAATTCATCAATCTACAAAAATTAAATCATGATTGTTTTAATGTTAAACACAAAGAGTTACATAGTAAAAAAATTGAAAGGAAAAATATAACATCCACCAGAATTAGTAAAAGAAAAACTGCTATAATATCAACTATACTAATATTAATAATACCCGCTTTATTATTTATAATTTATAAGGTTAAATGTGATGTTCATATATATACTTATATAATAAAAAGATGTGTTTAAAAACATAGAAAAAACAAATTATAATATTAATACTTATTTAATATGTAATTTTTTTTTATTACAAATTAGTTCCTTCCATATAATTCATGCTTGTATCGTAAAATAAAAAAGATAATAAATAGGTGCCCTGGTTTCACGGAAGAATGGCGTAAAACGGAAAACTCAGAAATATATAACAATATATTTTGTAATAGTAATTATAATGTCTTATATAGTTCCCATTATATTGACGATTAAATATGTTTTTCATTAAAATTTTTTCTTTAAGCGCATATAGAATAATGTAATCAAAATATTTTCAGAAATTTTCCATCAAATATATTGTGTAATAAAAAAAAATTCATAGACAATGAAAAATAATAAAAAATAATAATACGTAAGTTTATCGAAATAATATTTCATTGAGTTACTATATTATATTTGAATTTATATCTAAGAACGCTGAATTAAATTTTTTTTTTTTGTGTTTGTGAAAAGGGTTTATACATTCACACATAAATTTTTGACATATTATTCTTATTATTATATGTAAAAAGAATGAAGATTATCAATTTGATTTATATAAATTTATATGATGCTTAAATATATATTGTGCTCTATAAGTGATTTCTGATTTTTCATGAATTTCATTAAATATTAATAATTCCTAAATTAGCTGTGTAAAAAATACATAAAAATATTTTAATTTTATTATATATACTATATTAACTTTAGATCTAATAAATTATAAAAACTAATTTATATATCTTTTATATTATTTTTTACACATATATATGTATGAAATTATTGCATCATATTTACTACTTACAAGTATTATTTTTTTTCAGAGTTTATGTATTTTCACAATTATTTTTCAGAATTCATGTATTATGGTTCTCTACTTTGTAGATATTTTATTATAATGGAACTATAGTGATACCTAAAATAATTTATCTTTATTAGCGTTGAATATATCATGTTTTGATACATAAGGTAAAACAATGGACTAATATCATAATGTTCTTTATATACTTACTTCTTTATAGATATTAATATTATTGTAACCAATAAATAATTATAAAGAATACATATATATTGCGTATATTTATTCAATTGGAATATTACATTTCTGTTAAATGCAACAAAATTATATTTTTGCATTCAGATGTAAATATAATATAAATAATGTCATTGTCCTCTACATGTTATTATTTGCCAATTGTTATATGTCTAATGAGCTATATTTTTTTATACTATAGTACATATAAATATATAGTGTACAATAAAACAACAGCACTAATGCTATTATGTTAAAATATAATAAATTACTATGTTCTATTTATCTTAAATTAATTAAAAATTATTTATCTATTAAATTTAGATAGTATATTTACTTATTTTAGTTCTTATTTCAATTATAATAGAATTTAATGAATACTACTAAGCAGGTTCATTGTATATAAGATAAAATATTACATATATATATATGTACATAATATTAAATATATGTCAATCTCAAATCATCAAATAATTATAATATTTTACATGAAATTTTAATATCAAAAAAATAATGCATAATCATTCTATTATAATTCATTTAAAGTTACTTAATATTAATTTTGTCCTTAACTATTGAACATGCAATATAAGAAAAGATAAGTACTAAGTCGAAGATATATTATCCTTATAAATATAGTATAATTTAATGAATTATATTTTCATTATATGTTTTGGCACTTTTTTAATTTAATTAACTATGCATATGTGATATATATTTCTTTGAATTAACTATAACATATTAACCTCATGGATATTAATGCTAGTGCTCGTTAAAGAAAAATAATGTCCATGAATTTAATATATGATTAAAAGATATAAATAAATAATAAAAATCATATTTATTAGAATATATATTATTATTGATTTATACAATATACATAAGATGATGAAACCTCGGAAATAACAAGATAATGCATCGCTAATTTTTAGAGGCTCAAACTTTTACACACATTATAGCAAATATATATTACATAATGATTAACATGCGCATTAACTTCATTTCCACAAATATATACTTTTGTGTGTAATAATGTATCACATATTTCATTAATTACACAATAGAACTTAAATAGAAATTTGTTTTATTTATTCATAAAAGCTCATAGGATATTTTTTAGTGAGCATGCTTCTTTATTCCTATATATTATAATAAATATGATAAAAATAAATTTCTTGATTTTCCAAACATACCTTTTTTTAATGTTATTTTCGTTATAAATTTTTAATATTTTTATGGTTGCAACAGAAATATCATTTCTACATATAAACATTGTTATTGCCTATGTGTTCGTATAATTATATAGATAAGAATTCACATTATTTATATATATATATTATGCGAAATTTAAAGATATATTGGAACTGTATGATTGAATGCGTATATATAGTTATTCTTAAATGTGTTTCATATTATCATTTATTAAATGTACTTTTGATTTAATTATAATTAAAACTATATATATATAGAATATGTAGGATGAAAACATTGGCGATTATAAATAAAAAACAGGAACAATGATTAATGAAAAGTGTAAATAACAAAATGTTAAAATGAATGTAATATTAATTGTATAATCTAAATTGAAATCCATAAATAGTACATGGAGTTATATTTGCATATTTATAATTTATTTTTATTCATATGTCTATTAACGAAAAATAAATTTTTTTTATTTACCCACATATATAAATCAATAATATGTTCTTATTTTCATTTTACAATTCATTATAATTATATGTTTGATAGATAAATATTGTTCTTGGTATTTTAATGTTAGTAATTAAGCTTTATATAATGTTATTTTGTATTATAATGAAATAAAAAGTAATTATGGTAATATTTTATATATTACTACACATATATTCATCATGGTATAATGTAATAATATACCTAACTAAGCAATACTTTATGTAATATATTATAGTTAATCAAATTCTTATATATTATATATGATATATATGAATATAAAATAATAATTCTCACTTAAAAAGAAATATTTTTTCATTCTTTATTACTACAATGAATGAACATAATAGATTATAGTTCTTAGTATTATAAATTAATTAATACTTCCTATATTACTCATATTTAATTGGAAAAATATATAGTGCAATACGAAGCGGCTTATTAAATGAAATAATTAAAAATATAGCAATATTGATATATATGTAATCATGTGTTCCCATATACCTAACGAACTTAAATTTAATAAAATATCACACATAAATATCATAAAATTGGAGGAACGTGATTTATTCTTTAAAAAAAAATAATATGAATATTATTAAAACCATTTTAAATAAAAATCAATTTTCATCATTTTTATTACATAATTGAATATACATTTTTATATAATGTAATGCATTTTAATAGAATGATATATATGTAGATCTCTTATTTCAATTTGCATTAAATTTAAATATTTTTGAGTTCTTGTTTAATAAGAAAAAATATTATTTTCAATCAAAATACAGAATATTAAAAAGATTAGTTTATAAGATATATGAGTTTTATATTTAGTCATCATTCATGAAATAAATAACATGTGTAACATTCTGAATTCATTATATTGAAGCACTATTATATTAAATTTATCATATAATCAATATATTCTTATGAGCTCTTTTTCATATTTATATTAAAATATTAATAGAATCAATCTGCAAAAAATTTAATTTCTTTCTTTTTTATGATATGTTAATGAAATATATTCTTGTAAATATATATACAATTGTATAACTAAGAAGAATTATATAAAACATTATATCTCCTATTCCATGAATTATTTCAATATGTTTCATATGATTGCAATGTATTATATATCTTCATCTGTATTTTTAAATAATTTACTTACCATTTTCATCGAAATCTGCAGTTATGTGCTATAAGGAGTGAAGTAATAAAAAAAAAATATTAAACTGAAAATATAATTTTTTAAGTATGTATATATATTTTTACCCTATTTTAACAAATGTTTTATAGTTAAATTATACACATTATTTACCTTATACATAAAAAGAAAGATACACAATACTAGTAATATTATAAAAAAAGAAAATGAAGTAGAAACTAGTAATGTTTGTTTTTGAAAAGAATGTAATATTTCGGGTATACTTATGTTACATTTAGTGATTAAATTTTTAAGTTTATTTCTGATATTTTTTATTGCACTATATGAACCTGGGTTATAGCTTTTTTCTCATTTCTTCTTAAGGTTATTATGCATGTCTTCAAACTTTTTTTGCACAATTGTATTTCTTTTCGTTATAACACGCACTAGTAACAGGATTTTTTATATTATAAATTTTTTCTTTAATATCATATAGTTCTGTGAAAATATATAAATCATCATAAATAATATTTTTTTGCTAATTATCCAAAAAAATCCTTTAAATCAGAGGAAGTGTTAGCTATTTTAATCAATCCATTATAAAAACCTATGATAACTAAATTAGTTTCTCCATCCTTTAGTTTAATCATATATAGACAATAATATATAATATATAAAAAATATATTTTGCAATGATATATATTTTTGTCGATATACATTACATACAAATATTGCATAGATTTACAGCATATATCATCAGCACCAGAAACAGTTACGTCTGAATGTTTTGTTTATTATTCTTACAGTCACCTTTCCATTGAATATTATATGTATCAAGGTTTTTCTTAACAACTTCAAAATTCAGAAATGACGAATATACAAGATAATACTAATAAAATATAAAAAAAATAGTACTACAAAATCCATGTACATGTTAAAAAAATTATATAAATCTAATGGAAATTTATATACAATATTGTTATAATATTGCAATTGATATTATAATAAATCTATCCTACAATATAGAGCGTCTTCTTAAATATGATTACATGATTTTTTGTATTAAAAAAATATATTGATGATTACTAACACAAAGTAAAAAATTTTAAAAGTATATATAGGATGTTAGGAAATATTATTCATTCTTTATTAAAATTATACAATTCATAGAAAAAAGAAATAGAAAGAAATGTATTATAAATTTTTATTCTAATCATATTATGGTGGAAATTATTTGTGATGTGCTACATGCTTACTTAATTATATTAAGGAATAAATAAAAAACATAATCCTGGTATTTGGATAAAAAGAGCCAAATGCTCGAATGTTAAATAATATGCATTAGGGAATCCAGGACACTTCATGGTT